GGTAATAAAAGTTTGAATACTATTATTTCAGCTCTAGAAAATCGAGATTACGCACATTGAGCTAATGGCGGGTTGGGCGAGTTTTCGTTTTAAATTGACCCACTCGCTTACTAGCGAGTTGGAATAATTGTGGCCTGCAATCCACCCACATTCTTCTGCGGGTTGGGTGGGTGGCGGTGGATGCTGTTAGATCATGGGTTAACCCACAAAAACAATTTTCCAACTAGCCATTAAAAAAGTTGACTAACATTTAGAATAAGTTTATAATAAATTAGTAACTTTGTATCAATTTAAACACTTCTCCCTTTGTCTCATTCTCAAGTGAATACATGTAGTATTTGCATAAATTTTTTTTACTACTCTATCAACCAATTGTTCAGAGAAAACTTATGCATTTTGTGATTTTGATACAATTAATAATTTATAGTTTTCATCCTAATATTTAATGGATATTAACAATAATTTGCATTCCAATATCCAATGGATATTACACAACACAATAACCAAAAATAGTAGTCAAAACTATACTTTATTTTCCTGCTTTAGAAGTATATGGTCAGACTGTAGTACAGTTTGGAACTATGATGAATATTTGATACTATAAGAAGCAACAAAAAAAATCATGTGAAAATAGGATGCGCGTCATTCGGGTGACCCGCAACCCACCCACCCGCAAAAGTGCCGGTGAGAGATTTATCAATCCGCAATCCACCCACATCAATCACTCACTACTTGCGGGTTGGGTTATTTGCGGATGAATCGATATCAATTCGCGGATTAACCACCCACGTGCCCACCCCTACATTAAGCTACTCGATTATTAATGACCACCAGTAGTTGACGTTCAATTCATGATGAGGAATTCACCGGGCTGACCCATTGTCGCCATATCTATTTTGCTTATGCGTTGAGGGCCTATTGAGCATTGGATTTTACCTAAGGCGACGCATGAAAGAAATTTGTACCCTCTATAGGTGGCACAAGGAGCTCTGATGACATCACACCTGTTTTTTGCTAACAACTGTACTTTCTTCATCACTCATCATGGCAAATAAGGAGAAAACTTCGCATTTGAAGTACATCCTCACCGCCTACGAAAAGTAGTCGGGGGCAACAAGCAGTGGCGAGAGAGAGAGAGATGTTGAGGAGAGGGGTCCTAGGATCCCACTTGGCAAAAATAAAAAGGGCAACAAATCATTTAGATACATAGAGTTAGTATGATCCATCAAGTTTAGGATCCCATACTCTTGCGATGTTCACTTAGCTAAGGATCCAATCAACTTCAAATCTGACTACGACAGTGACAACAAGTGAGCTTTGCGAAAGTCCAAACTCTCTTTTAGCACAAACAATACTCCTAACTAGGCGATGACTGTGAAGGGGATACTTGTCATGCCAATTGTGATGACTGACGAAGCATGACAAATGCTTGGGTTTGGAGACAAGTGTGGGAAGATCAAAGAAGCATTTTCTGGGCTCATAAAATTCTAGAGAATAGTATGTAAACTTTAATAAAAGTGTACTTAGTATATCAATTAAATGAGACAAGATGAGTAAAAATGCGAGTTCAATGATACACCGTGTCCTAATTTAACTTAAGTAAAACACATTCACCTATCAATCAGCTTAAGTTGCACAGTTGCTATCATTACACTTTTGGCGAATGACAAATCGACATAGTATGAGAGAGATCCATGGTTCATACGAAATAATTACATCCCAAATGACAAGACGCGTTTTGCGGTGATATGGAGAAGTTATTGCAAGAATTCTGAAGTTAAATGTGCTAAATGCATAGCATTGCAAAGATGAGTTACCTCTTGAGAAATAACCACACAAAAGCAAAATTGTGCCGCTGGAAAGACCCTAAGCAGACAATATTTTGGTCTAAAAGAAGGTTGGGATATTACAAGTGGTATCAAACTCTCTGTGTCCCTCTTTAGGGATGGCAATGGGTCGGGTCGGGGACGGATAATGCATATCCGTTACACTACCCAAAGTAGTTCGGCTTTTACCCATACCCATACTCACATAAGAAACGGGTAGAAAATCCAAACCATGTCCATACCCGTTCGGGTTTCGGGTATCCACGGTTATCCATGGGTAATAGTTTTTCTTTATAACTCTAACCAATACGTCAATATTCACACGTATTCTCACATTATGTAAGACGAAAAGTACGACAGTGATTCACTAGAATGAAGAAAATTAATTAAAACAACACAATTTCATTATAATATTATATTTATATGCTAGATATAAAATATTTTAGAGAAAAATATTGATTATTTCTAGAAAAAAATACATACGCATGTGTATAATCGGGCGGGTTCGGGTTGGATAGTGAGAAAACCATGCTCACCCATTACCCGCAATATTCGGGTTCGGATTTTACCCGTACCCACTAAAAGTCTTTCGGGTTCGGTTTTACCCTACCCGATTAAGTCGGATTCGGGTGGATATCCATGGTTACGGATATTTTTGCCATCCTTATCCCTCTTGAACGATGCGAGGCGAACCCCAACGAGAATGTTGAGCCCCAAAAGGGAGGGTGTAATGTAACTTTTTAGAAAAATCTCATATCGACAAAGCACGAAAGAGATTCATGATTCATAAGAAACAATCCAACATTAACTGACATTTCACATTTTGGATGAAATGGATAAGTTCTTGTAAGAACATTGATGTGAAACGTGCTCAATTGTAAACAATGCAAGGTTGAGTGACCTCTCAAAAAGTTATCATGATACATACAAAAACAAAATTGTGTAGGAATAGGTCCAAAATAAATAATATTTTTGTTTGAAAAAAAAGGCCAATTTACATAAATATTGTGATTTTATTTAATTTTACCACAAATATAGCGTTTTAAAAACAATTTACAGGGATATTGTGTTTGGAAGGCAGGGACGCGGAGAATCCGCGCAAGCTAAATATCTTACATATACTAATGTGAGTCCGCGCAATCTAAGTAAAAGCTAAACTCTCGCTCGCACGGGTCCGCATACGAGATTTACTCACTCTCATTTGCGCGTACACGCGCTAGCTACTTTTTTCGTCTTCCTCCCTCTCTCCCACAAGATATGTGGCATATTCTTATTCGCGCGAGGAGCGGCAGCGACGAGCTGCTGCGGAGTGCAACGAGCGGCGAAGGACGAGCATCGGAGAACGAGCACGATGGCTGACTCCGACCACTATTCCGATGAAGAGGAAGTCGTCGCCGAAGGAGGAAGAGGCCGTGGGAAAGGGAAAGCTGGGCGGCGAGCTCACGGCAGCGACCGACACCGACGTAAGTCAATTGACTCACCTGCGGTGGCAGCCGAAATCTCACCGGCGGTCGGTTTTTATTTTGTTATTTCTTTAGAAAATTAAATTTTTTGTTTGTTTTTGAGCTACTATGATTATGGATACTTATTCCATGAGGTGACCAGTTGTGACAATTAATCCAACTCCGATCGATTTGAAACTTCTTTGGGCACATGGTCAATATATGCCGGCTCAATTTGGGCAAATGAGGCAAGTCTTTCGTAACGATTTTTCTTTAAAATTCATTAGCTAGTTAGATTAGATGTTTATATTAGATTTTACTAGGTGAATTAAAATTAGAAGTAAGTATGAAATTGAATTAATATAAGTTTTGTGCAACATGCTCAATGTAGGGTTGAGTGATCTCTCCAAAAGTCATCATGATACATAAAAAAATTCATGTAGGAATAGGTCCAAAACAAATAATATTTTGGTTTGAAAGAAGGTGCGGCTTGCATTGTTAGTTGTTACCGTTATTTTACGGCTAAATTACATGTTTGGTCACTCGAATTATATATATATTTCACATTTTCCATCCGAATTACTTTTCTTTCTTATTCAGCACTAACTTTACGAATCGTTTCATCGTTAGTCACCGATGATCAGTCTTCGTCAAAATCTATTAACTCAGTCACCGACACCATTAGAGAGCACCTATTGCAAGCTTCGTCCTTCTCCGATTTAAAACTCCCACCGAAGCTTCTAGGTTTCGCCAAGACATATTGAGAGTGTAGGAATTTATTGATTTCAAGCTCCGGGTTTCACCGACGAAGAAAAGAGAGGAAGGGATCTCTGGGTTGGGCTATTTCCGGTAGAGTGGAGCAGATATCTCGGCTGGGCAATTTCCGGCGAACTGGTTTCTTCTCTCTGTAATGTTATCGTCGATGAAGGTGGAGACGGCGGTGTCGAGATCCAATTGGTGGAGCTACCATTGACTTACCATACAAGTTCACCGGTGCGGCTTCGTCTTCTTCCTTGTAGAAGGGTTTCACCCCTGCATAAACGAAAAATCCAAAACAAAATGTTAACACTTCACCCCAAAACAAAATAGAAACCGGAGATCGAATTCGCCAGTGGTTGTAAATGTCAATTTTTATTTTTGAGCCCACAATCAACCAATTGAACCAACAAATGAATCCAATATTTTTATGGTCTTCGCAAATGGCCGAATCGATGAGAATCAGTTTCCAATCTGTCGTCGATTCCCAGATCGACGGAGAAAGCGAGGCATTGCGGAACATTGGCGGGAAGAAGCCGGTGAGGGCTCGGAGTGGATGGCTTTCTCGGTCTTGGCGGAACAGCTCGTGAAACATGAGGGAGATGATGAGGTATTAATTAATAATTTTTTATTTTTTTTATTGACATGTCATTAGGTCTAAATTGTCTAGTCAGCAATTCTGTTTGCCACGTCATTAAAAAATTAAAGGAGTTTGACGGTGACTAACGGTGAAACGATTCGTAAAGTTAGTGGCGAATAAGAAAGAAAAGTAATTCGGATGACAAATGTAAAAGATTTATTTAATTTGAGTGATCAAACGTGTAATTTAGCCGTTATTTAAAAAAAAAAAACTTCGTGATGGGCGCAAATAAGCCCATTAAGCCGGTGACAAGGCAATAAGCAAGAAACCAAAAGCCCAAAGGTTCAGTAATTATAGGAAAAAAGAAAATACGTGGCAATCCAATACTTTTTGCCGCCGGATGAGTTACGCCTCTCTTCTATTTTTCTTCCCGGCGACTACGGGAAATCTAACTTGGACTCTAATCAAGTGAGGAGAAAGGTGGAAAAAGAAGAATCGCCGCCGCGCTACCTCCTCGCTCCGCCACCTGTGCCGCCGGAGTAAAAGAGTTTGGAGTTTCCGCTTCGGTAAGCCCACTCGAATTTCTCTCCGTCTATATTCCCTCAACTGGTGCTCTCAAATTTTATCTGCGCCCCACGAAAACCTAGCCACCTTCGCTCCCGATCCAAGTTTCCGCCAATCGCTCACTGATCTGGTAGCGATACTGAGAGCTTGAAGCTCGACGGAAATTTCAGTTTCTCAGCTCTGGCGGATTCTCAATTGAGCTTTGTTTTTTTTTTTTTTTTACTGCAGATTTGAATCTTGCGAATCCGTCAGCTGCAGCAGAACAAAGCTATGGTATAACAAATTTTGCATCTAAGGGTTCTTCCGTCCATTCGATTTATATTTTCAATTTGTCTCCATTGATCTCATACGTTTCCTTTCGCAGTCGGCACTCTTCAATTTCCATTCGTTTCTCACGGTTGTGCTGTTGGTGATTTGTACTTGTACTTACGTGAAGTTGCACTTCCCAGCCATACTTGAACACAAAACAGGGTTCGTGCTTGTTGTTTCCATATACATTCTGTGATTGACTATGCAAAAGCCTTAATCAAGGGGTTGATCACTGTGTTTTGTGGCGAATTACAGGTTTCGTGGTTTCTTCTGGAAGGCAGCCAGAATAGGTCAGTCTTGAAATGCCTGGTCATTTTGGTGTCCTTTTCCTTTCTTTGTTCGTTTTTGAAATATGTTTACGGCCATACCTTGCTTGTACTTACTTACTAGTTACTTCATCAGTTAAGTATATAACATTTGAGTGATATGGAGTTGACGGTTCTGTATGAATTAGACTGTATGTGAGTTGCTTTGGATTACTCAGTTCAGGAAATGATACAGTGTAGCTGTTAATGTTATGCTTTAAACAAACAAGCTTAAACTTTAGAATTTTAAACATCTTAATGATCCTTGCTGACTATATTCTCTTTGGGAGCTTGGTTTGTTTTTATTGCTGAACACTTGCATGTGATTTTCCAATCTTATTGAGTCAGGTTTCTTAATATCGGCGTATGCTCTTAAATTTGGTTGCCTCACCTGTAAATGATTGACCATCTTAAGCATCAGATATACTGTACTGCTGATTTAAGGAACTGTTGTAGCATAAAAGGACTTGATGTTCTGGAACATGTTGTTCTACTGGCTGAGCTACAGTTTGATTTCGGGACCTGACTCCTCCCTTTATGATTGCTAAACTAGGTGAACGTCTGAGTCCATGGATGGGAGCAGGATGCATTGCGATGGGTGTTTCAATCATATTCTTCTGAGCAATGAACTTTGGGCCTTTGTATTTGGAAGTACGCCAATCATGCATTCTGAGTAATTTCCTACTTCTACTGCTTGATTACCACTTACAGTTACAGATGTATCCATAAGTAATGTGTTACAGGATAGAAAATACTGTTTTCCATTCATGTGATCTCTAGATTAGATGTTAAAGCTTCTTTTGGTGTTAGAGACTTTCTTTTTTGCTGTTCCTATGACTTAGTTTGCTCTTAAAGAACTGAATTAAAAAAATCTGACATTTAGGCAGTTTGTCGATTGAGGTGAAAGTCATGTCTTTGTTTCCCCCATCCTGCTCCCTACAGAAACTAAGCAGATAAGGCTTCTTTTGTTAAACTAAGGTAGAAATCAGAGAGGAATGATCATTTGATTTTTCGAGGTGATTTATTTTATTGCTCCTTGTTAGCCACTGTATTCATGTTTCATGCACATGAGATCTCATATTTATTGCGAACCATCATCTTAATACATTAAGAATAACACATAGGTATCAGAAGCATCGGAAAACATAAGTAGGCACTCCGATTCTCTTTTAATCTACTATCAGAGTATCCTATCACATACATTATTAGTTGCCTCCCCTTGTATGTGTGGCTCAAGTGGAGTTTCTTACTGAAGAAGGATGGAGTTCAGGTTGAAATTAGGACCCCAGAAGTCTTGTTTGTTTAGCCACCAGGGATACAACTCACGGCGTAAACCGTGACCTTGTGCTTGAATCTCCTCAGAACCAGAACCCTAGCTTCTCCCCACTGAAACACCGATAGTATCATCTTCTTCATAGGTTTCTTCTGATCGTTCTTGTTGGCAGCCATGCCGAAGTCATCATCGCTTTTATCGTCCGCTTCCCAGTGAAGCGGATAGCTCCTCAGAAACACCCTCCTGTAGCTGTAGTCCTCATCCCGGAAGCTCTTCGTCCTCACCGTAGCTTCCTGCATAGCTTTGGTGCTTTCTATGTTTGGGTAAGGTGATGGTTGATGAATCATTTTGAGAATTGGGTGGGTTTTTATCTAGGGCTTCTTGGGCAGAGAGGAAGAGACAGTGGCAAAGAGATGACAGCTACTGTCATAAGTCATAATGTCCATATCATTGAAGGACATTACTAAGTAGGGAAATAGGTGTTTTCTCTTACATTCCCTAGAACTAATCGCAGTAGGTTTGTTATATTCTATTTACATGAATAGTCCTCCAACTTTGGAGCAGCTAACAAAACGGTCATCGAGCTTCAGTTTTTGGATAGATGTAACCCTTCGGTTTCGCAGATTCAGTAAAAAACTTAATAAGACAGATTAGTTTTTGCTTTTAAAGAACGAGTGATTGATTTATTGGTTACCTCAAACTTGAATGACTGTTTCGATAATTAACCCGAAATTATCTTATGTGTTAGATTAGAACCAGTAGCGGTATCATCTTGTGTATTAGTGTTGATAGGGCGGATTGGGCTATGCCAGTGTGAAACAGAAACAGCAAGTCTAGCATGGAATCCCTGTGGTTCAGCTCTCTCTATAAGCTTTTTTTGACGTTTAACCGCAAGCATAGAGATATTCTGCTCGCACTAGGCGTTATCTTTATCTTCCTAAGGAAAACTGAGGATATCTTACAAAAGCTAACAGGGCTAACAGCCATGAGAGGAAAAAAGATTTTAACATGATGAGCTGGCTACCAACAATGGAGCTTTAATATACAAAACATCTAAGTTGCTGGATTGGTAAATTATTCTCGTGGAAATCAATGACGAGGGTCGTGGCACGCTACACTGGATCATTGAACCAACACTTTGATCGAACAAGATTCGGTTTTGATTTTGAATTTCAGGAAATTTTTATTTCAATTTCATTGATTCCCTAGAATATGAAAAGATGTTTTCTTTAGTTTCAGTCTTTGAACTTGCTTCAGTTTTTATGCGAGGTAAATGATCAATTCAACATTTTTGAAAAAATGTCTATATTGGTTATAATTGTCGGAATTCAGTTTAATACATATGCGAACCTAGAAGTAGCAAAATTCTTGGACACTTAAAAAAGATTCTTTTTTTTTGTTACATTTAATGTCTCTTGTTGATGCATCAACATGGGCTTTGATAGTAATCTTCATTCAACTTGACTCTATGAATTTATGGAAATTAAATAGAATTTAGTAATTGGATTAGTCCGTATCAATGCAATGTTTGTGAAATCATACGTGGTTAAGATTAAAGAGTTCAAGACTATTGAACATACTGTGCAAGAGATCTTTGTCAAAAAAAAAAAAAAAAAAATATTACTGTGGAAGAGAGAGTTGGAACTTTGACGGAGTTCGCACATCAAAGCATCCATCTATTCTCACGTTTCCACAATCCATTCCCCACCCACTCACCAGCCCTTTGCCAAACACCAAAACTTACTTAGCTTTCAAGACCAACTATGAACTACCTCTGTCTCCCCGCCCTCTCTCTCTTGAAATTCTAGCCACCACCCCAACTTCGTCGGCTTCAATCCATGATAACTCTCCTCTCTTCTCATCATTCCTTCATCTCCCTCTCTCCCTCTCTCCCTCTCTTCCATGGCGAAAGAAATGGAATCGGACCTATTAACTGACGGCAAAGCAACAACAGAAACGACGACAGATGCTTTGGCGACGGCGCTTATTAAGTGTCCCACCGTCGGCGTAGATTCCCGCCAAATGAAGTCGACAACACCGTCGCCAATCCAGAGGCAGGGGAGCGCTAAGGAGTACTTCAGCGGTGGCGGTGAACGAGATGATAGCTACTTCGATGCACATCCTTGGTTCGACTCCGATAACGAGGAATTTCGTAGTGTAAACGGAGGTAATTAATTAAAGGTTTTTTTTTTTATCTGGTTATATAATTTACCCGTATTCAAACGGCTCGAGTTATTGATAAGCCATCCACTACATACTGTACGTGCTGCTATATTGTTTTCCGCATATACGCGGGAGTGTAGATTTTGGTTCATCGCGATTAAGGATGGCAATTTTGCCCATACCCATGGGTATTTTACTATCCAACCCAATTGGGTTGGGTATGAAATCCAAATATATGGATATGGGTAAAGTTTAATGGGTTTGTACCCATACCCATTTACTTTGGGTTGGATTTGGGTTTGTACCCATGCCCAAATACAAATTACAGTTTGGTACCTAAACTTAATAAATATGCATATTTAGTACCTAAATTTAATTTTTTTTGCATATAAGTCCTCAAAATATCGATGAAAAATTACGTTTTGGTACCTAAATTTTTTTGGTCTTACATTTTGGTACCTAAAATTTTCAAGTTTTACAAATAAGTCCAATTTTTGCATGTGTAGTTAAAACACTCTCAAGTAAATGGATATCCATATCCAACCCATACCCATTTAGATAATATCCATATCTAACCCAAACTCATACACACATCACCCAAACCCTACCCATAATAAATGGGTCTACTTGGGTTTGGGCAAAATTACCCATGGGTGGGTAAATTGCCATCCCTAATCGCGATCATTCACTCCGATCATGGACCGAATTGATTCGGAAGAAGCTGATGATCGGGACACACTATCAACTCCTCGAGTACTTAATCGATCGTCGACGACGAGTAGCAACACAGGCTACCTTAATGTGCGACCTTCTAGGTCTTCTTCCAGTGCCAAGAAGCAGCTAATTGAGTTCTTTAGCGACAGCTTTAGTCGCGATTTGAGAACGGAGATGGAAGAAGAATCGATCGGCAAACAGCCTTCGGGAGGCTTTCAAAAGTACAGTAGTGGAACCTCTTCTTCAACAAGTACCGACCGAAGCGTGAGCAGTCCACGAGAGTCCATGTCCAAGCCGATTTATAACGATCCAAGAACGACGACGAGCAAGAAATCAGCCGTTAAAACCTCTTGCATTTTGCTGGTCCGGAGCCTCAGCTGTGGTGGCGGTGGTGGTAATGTTGCTGAGGGTGGCAAGAAGAAGAAGAAGAAGCGTAGCCGTCGCCATGACTTCAAGCAGTAACAAGACAAGATCGATGGCATACAAAAAGAATCATAGTCCATTGTAAAAAGGAACAGTTTTTGTTAATTTGCTTGTGATATTGGTTTGTGGGATTTCGTCAATTTGCTTTTTCTTTTGAGGGTATGAAGTGTTTGGTTGATAAGTTTGGCTATGTCAATTTTATTTGCTCTAAGATATCGGTCGACTTATGTAGTAATGTTGGGGATAACCAAATTTGACAAAGAGATTGTATGCTAAATAGGGTATCTCTCAAGGATAGCTAACTCCAACTTGAATTTGCATTTTACTCTTTAAGGTGATTCAATTCCTAGCATGATTGATAAGGTAAAGATGGTACAAATCTATGCTTCCTTTGAATCAAACATTTGTGAAATGTGATATTTAGGGTCAATTATCACATACCATAATACTTGGAAATGTTGGTATATTAGTGAAATTATTGATGTGATATTTTCATTTAAAGTGGCTTAGGATAGGGTCAGTAATCATTGGTTTCTGGGTGAAAAAATAATGGACAAAAAATTACCATACTTTACTACTATGGTATGTGGGTGGTAACTTGTAGTAAACAATGATGAAAGTCGTAAATAACAGTTAGTATACTTCTACTATCATGTATTCAACCTTCTTACTATATTGGTATGTTCATACCATCATGATACGCTTTCTTACCATATGGTATTAAATAGGAGCATACCATATGGTAATGACTGGTAAAAAATTATTCAATTTTTTTGTACTAAAATATATCAAAGTGGATATAATTTTAAAGAGCACATTTAATCTGATTTATCTGTGCAAAAAAATTTAAATTTCGAGTTAAAACGAGAGAGAAATCGTCGGTTAAAAATTAAAGGGGAAAAGATAAAAGACTTTTCAGAAGAGAGAGGGATAATGATGTCATGCTAATGTCCGGATTACTAACTATAAGGTTACTGACCTGATCCGTTCTCATTTAAAGTTGATAAAACACAAAGTTTACCCTTCAATATAATATAATATAATAAAGAGTTTTTGGGCTGCATGGATTAGTAAACTCAAATTACGATGACATTCTATTTGGGATATGCCTATTACTACTGAAAGTTCTAGGATATGGAGGAGTTTATTGAAGCTTCGAGGATGGTTCAGAATCATATGGAGTGTTGCAAAGATGCGGTGGTAGCATGGGAAGGAAGATAAGAAATCATCAATGAGTAGATGATAGATGTTTGCTTTGTTAATGTGCACGAGAGAGTAGATATCATATGTTTGGTGCATGTAATTACACTTTGCAGTTCTAGGAGGAGATTTTTATCAACAGCTACAACAATGGCCTCGTGACTGGGAGAGACTTTTTCGAAGAGTATGCGCAGAAGTGAAGAAAGGAAGTGCCTACGGACCTGTCTATGCTGCAATGTGGTATACTGGTATTGGACAGTGAGTTTACTATGGAAAGAAGATGTAACCGGGTGTTTGGTGGTGTCCATAGAGATTGGCATAACCTTTTTACTCACTTCAAAAATGATTTTTTTGTTCTTTTCTTTAGCTTAAAATGATTTATGTGTTAAGAGGCAATGTTTGCTCTTTTTAGTAGATTATTGTAAGTAGTTTTGGGCCTTGGATTCGGTCTGAAATGTGGACTATGTCCAAGTTTTCTTAGGATGCTTGGTCACCTTCATCAAGAGAGTTTAATGGAAAGTGCTAATTACTGAGGAAAAAATATATTAATGAAACACCTCAACTTCACCATCGTTGCACTTCCCTCTCTCCCACCTTGAGAAACCAAAGATGAAATTGCCTTTGTCGTCTCGAAAAACTCCTCCCAATAACACTCTCATTGCCGATCATCCTAGCATAAATGTTCAATTTGAATATCTCGTGGTCCGTCTCATTCCAATGATTACAATTGGAGACCGGGACATACAGATCTTGATCCATTTTCTTCAGAGCTTCCAAATAGTCATCGATCCATCAAGCCACCCATTGTGCCACTTCATTATCTTAGAGTTTTGCTCTATTTTGCCAATTATTTTTGCACTCTTGCCAGAGGAACCATAAAAATACGCAAAATCTTTGAATGATGTTGTGTGGGTACTGATAAAAAACACAATCCAGCCACTCATGACATGCTCTACTTTCTCCTCCACTGAACAATTTGATATTGCTTTCTTCCTTCAAATTTTGCGCACAATGGATCCTATACATTAAAGTTTACTTATTTGATGTAATATGATACGAGATGAATTGGATAGCTCCCTTTTCTTGGCAGGAGTGGACCAGTTTTCTTTTTTCTTGGCAAGAATGGCCAGTGGTTCTTAACTCTGAAATTGTCTACCAATTCATTAGTTGGAAAGCACTATATATGCAACACAAAAGAGAAACAAACTACCACAAAAATAGCCAACAAGGGACACCACTCCTAACCACTCGTTCCACTTAAAGTGGAGAGGTTTATTCCACTAATCTAACCAACTAACAACATGAAAGACTAATTCTATCTAAGCTATGGCAAGCTACTGCACAACAGAAATGCACCCACTACTTGTTAATGTTGATTGTTGTAACGCGTGCTGGGCTGGTGAACTCTCGACTAACAACGTGGCCCAATTGAGGGCTTATCATTACCACCCTCTGAAAAAGCGGCCTTGTCCTCAAGGCCGAGTTTGAAAATAGTGATTGTTGAAGATCGATATTAGTGTCCATGTAGTCTCCTTCGCGTATACGAAACTTCAAATTTCGTTGAGGCACTCAAACAAATCCAACATCAATAGCTTCTACGTACCAGAGCTTCATCTCTATGGCGAACACATGGGTTACTCTAACAAGATCACCTTCTTCAACTGCCAATAAGAAGATATGAAATTCATCTTCCACCTCCTTCCATTCATGCATCCCCTGCATTACTTCTTTATTCTCACGTACCTCCTGCCCCTTTATTATTACTCCCAATAATAAGAATGCATCACTAGGCACCTCCATCTCGGCAACCCTATATGGAAACTAAACCCCTCTCCCAAAATTCAAAATCGGCTCACACTTGTTCGAACCATCACCCGTACCCTTCTCTTCAATTGGACCGACAATCACGTCCTTAATTAGGCAAGGCTCCATCTGCTGTGAAAGATTATGAATTTGTCCGGCCTTGTAAGCTTGCCGCCACATTTCCATCTTTCCTGTCTCCCCCAATCTCGGCTCAGCTCCATTCCGTCCCATGGTCGCGTCCTCAGTGCCCCTAGAACTGGGCTTCATTTCATAGAGAAGGCCTCCCGTTAATCCACCCATCGTCGGCCCAACGCAGCCCTGAATGGTCAGCCCATCTTCGATACCTAAACCCGCAAATTTTGACCCAGCTACCGCCATCTTGCAGATCCCATCGTCTCTGCGTCTTCCTTCTTCTTCGTTGCGCTCTCGGCCACCGTTCTCCAACTCCCTTTTCCTTCTGAATTTCCATGAAATGGCAGATTTAATGGCGATCATTTGTCGTTCTTTTCCATCCTCTAATCGAGCCTCCCAAGGAAACATCTCCAATGCCACCCGATCTGCTATTTTGATGTTGTTTGAGGCGATCGGCAGGCCAGCTCCTGAAACGGTGGATTGGTTTGCGCCTCCGGTCATCAAGAAGAGAGGAGTTTCTGCGACAACCTGAACAGCCACATCGGTCAACCCTTGGTCCATCATTTGAGAATGGCTTGAAACCCTTTTGTAGGCAGAATCAATCCAAAACTGCACGTTGGTCTTAGGTGGTGTAGCGATGGTATCGTTGATGCCTATGTCAACGGCGATAGGTTCTGGCGAGGAAAAATCCAGTGCGGCCGCCGCCTTGATCACCAGCTGGTTCGGCTCAGTCTCTTCTGCTGGGGCTGGTTGTTTGTTAGTGATGATGGCAAGGAAAAACTGGGATCCTGCGGGTAGGAGAGGGTTCTCTACCTCTTCAGCGGCGACGATGGTTTTGACTTGTAGCGACGGTGGTTCAGAGGCACTCGTCGGCGCGGCAAGAGGGAACAACGCCAACGCCAACGACAACGGCGGTGCAGGCTTTGCGCCGACAACATCTTCTTCCTCGTCCTTTGCCCACTCGGCTAGAGCTTCAGCTTGTGGCGGTGGTGTGCTCTCAGCGGCAGCAGGTACCTGTTGGGGTGCTACGGGTAGGATGGAGATCTCCCCCTCTTCAATGGCAGCTAGGGTCTCGACTTCCGACGGCGATGTTGCTAACAGGGATTTGTCATACGACGCAATCATCATGCGGCAGGTAGCCATGACACACTCTATCTGGCTGAGTGCCTGATTGATGAGTTCCTCCTCTCTTGATGGTCTCTTTGAGCTCATCATGATCGGAATCAGGATCAACGGCTCTGATACCAAATGATACGAGATGAATTGGATAGCTCCCTTTTCTTGGCGGGAGTGGACCAGTTTTCTTCTTTCTTGGCGAGAATGACCAATGGTTCTTAACTCTGAAATTGTCTACCTTCATTAGTGGGAAAGCACTATATATGCAACACAAAAGAGAAACAAACTACCACAAAAATAGCCAACAAGGGCCACCACTCGTTCCACTTAAAGTGGAGAGGTTTATTCCACTAATCTAACCAACTAACAACATGAAAGACTAATTCTATCTAAGCTATGGCAAGCTACTGCACAACAGAAATGCACCCACTACTTGTTAATGTTGATTGTTGTAACGCGTGCTGGGCTGGTGAACTCTCAACTAACAACGTGGCCCAATTGAGGGCTTATCATAATATTGCATGCAACCACACTATTGGCAGGCCCGAAAAAATATAGGCTCTTAGACTACAACTAACTTTTGTTCATAACCACTAGTCAAGCCTACTCCCAATGCATTCTAGTCTGATTGCTAGGGATGTGCAATGGTCTGGCCAGACTAAATCAGCATTTGATTTGGAACGAATATGATGTGAGCAAGATAGTCATCAAGAATGTCAATTCCTAAGCGTTCAAAATAGTGATTAATTTGTGGAGGAATGGCGAGTTGAAAATGGCAAAGTGCGGAA